CATTTCAGTTGGAACGAAGTGAACAACGGAACAAATGATGCTGCTGAAGACGTGTCACCTGAAAAAGCCACTGTTGAAGAAAAAACTCGACTCAGTTTTGAGAAGGGAAACGATGAAGCTCTTGATGAAGTTACTACCACTGATGTGACTGTTACCGCTAATAGGACATTTCCTGATGGAGCAGATGAACCCCACGTGAAGCAGAAGCCAACAAGACGGAGACCAGTACGGAAGAAGATACGTCCCGTAAAATTAAGAGACTTTGTTGAATTTTAATTTTTGTGTTTGTAAATTCTGTCCATTTAATTAAGTTATTGTCAATTATCTATTGGTTTAATGTAAGTGACTATTCTTCGGGACGAACAATACTAAGGAAGGGGCAGTGTTACGACAGCGGGGATCATTGACGCTGGTAACACGTCATATTCTCGAAGGTTCGTGAAGTCTCAGGAGGTTACTAGATATGCGGTATTCTTTTATATATAAGACCGGTAAGAACTGACAGAAACAATTTTAATGGAATGGGTAATTGAACTGTGGAAAGAGAGAGGCGTATTGTTGAGCGAGCATGTGAGACGTTCGTTGTGAATTATAGCGTTTGTTATAGCTCGACTGTGGAAATTAAGTGTATTGCAAAGTTGTATTTAGAAAGAGTAAACCAGTATTATTTAAGAAAGGACTTGTATCGCTATAGTTTCTTCTGAAAGAATTTTTACGGAAAATTAACTAACGACCAGAGACGTAACAATATCTTCAATCTCTGTCTGCTATTATCTATCTATATATGCCGTCACTTCTCGCCGGTCTTATATATACGAAATAGAGGGCAAATGGTAAACACTTGAGCCTTCAAGAACGTTCTAGACACTCATTACGTGTTACCAGCGTCACGTGGATTCCTCTGTCGTAACACCAGTATTAATCAGGCAAGAGCAGAAACACTCGTCTTTTGTATTGTTTTGTAAAGCAAATAAATACTGTTTCCACATTCTATCCTATTTCTGTCTTTTTCACAACTCAGCCAGAGTCTATGAATTCAGATTTACCCCTGCAAATCCAGTTTCTGTCAAACCTTATGTTATCTTGCAGTCGCTACTTGAACACTCCAAGGGAAATCGTGAACCTGAATATATAAAAAGAGAATAGCATTATGCATCCATATCACTGAAAACAATGCCAATACAAAATTACGAAAGGATATATATCGCCTGACCAGAAAGTGGAAAAGATCATTATTCACCCTCACATAGTTATTCTATTTCACAGCAAACTTTCTGGCGAGAAAGCACGTGCGATACTAGAGGAAAGAAGAGTAAAAGTAACTTAACTACATTCCTTGATCCTATTGTTAAAACTACACATAAAGCTAGAATTAAATCATAAACTAAAGGTACAGCTCAGTAGTTTTCACCTCATTCTTAATATTTAGTGATAAAAAAGTTGATCTAATATTGGCAATACACATTCGAACAGTTTTTAGGTTAGTCATATATATATATATATATCCGAAGAAGAATATTAATCTGAAACTTTGTGCAATTTAATGATTTTTTCCTTGGTCATGTTGTAAATCTGCGACGAACTTTTTCCATTCTGCGAGAAACACGCCGTTTTACTTTCACTGTTGGATGATAATAGGTATATTCAAAAAGTCACATGCATAATCTTCCACCTGGTGATGAACAAGAGGTTTGTCATACAGTTCTAAAAAGAACACCGGAAGCGGTACAGTGTAAATTGTAATGAAATTGCACGAGATTAGATATTTTTTTCAAACTTGAGCTTCAGCAACAAGAAAAGAAAGTAAAATAGGTTATATTCATGTCGTATTCAGTTTGGTTGTAGAAAATCTTTATTTGTAAGGTTGATTTATTTTGCCAGTTCTAAGTTATTAATATATAATATAGTAATAATAAACGTTACCCGTTACGTTATGGCAGAGAATGGTTTGAAAATAAAATTGAATCATCAGCTGGAAGGGGAAGTTCCAGATTTGGAAACGCAAAGGAATAAAATTTCCGAATGTCTTGGAAAGCCTTTGAAAAAAGGAGATACATGGCAAGTATATATTATTAGTAATTTGTTCATTATTGCATTATGACTATGAGCCTTAGTCTTTGTGATTTTTATGAATCTTAACTGTGGCGACCCTTGCTGCCCTTACGTATATTCATTTAAAATGTTATTCCAGAACTTAAGTATTACTGTTATTAGGCCTACTACTATCTAGTAGTACTACTACTTTTAAGTAATGACTTGTACTTCGTTGTGAACTAGTCAGCATCTTCTCTACAAAGTATCCATAATTTAGAAATAAACAAAAATTCCAAGAAGCTATAACGATGCACATTTTATCACTAGTTTACTTGACTTATGAATTTAATTTCAAACATATCTTTCGTTCTGTTTATCATAAAATCATAGCACGGGATCTAATTACATTGCAGCTATGAAATATAAATGGTAATGTTTGTGTAATTGTTACTGGCCCTCTGATGGGACAGCATTAAGTCTATGGACTTGGAACACTATGATATGGGGTTCAATTCCTCTTGGTGGACACACCAGATAGCCCAAAGTGGCTTTGCTCTAAAATAAACAGAAAAAAAAGGAAACATAATTGTTACTGTGTGAAAAGTTTACACATACTTCACAGGACACTGTACACCTGCTGTGTGATTTTGTAGAATTTATGCATATTCATTATATTGTTACTTTTATTGAGTTAGAACCAAAAACACCTATTGTCACTCTTTTGAGCCATCAAAACATTTACAACACCTATTCCAAACCACCCTATACTTTAAAATGCTAATATTGATATATATATATATATATATAATGAATAAATATCCTAAATAAATCTCAGAATATACAGTGTCCAAATTGAAGATATTACACAGTTAACTTGAACACAACGTTAGGAATCTGTATGTAAATACACAGGCTCATTCATAGTCAAATATACCAAGCTAAAGGATATAAACAACAGTTAAATAAAGCATCAGTTTTAACACTATTTTTAATAGGATCTAACATGTTTATGGCAGCCCCTGCTTACTTGCATTTTTCACGAATCTATCGATTCTAAAAAACAATGACAGGTAAATTTTGAAATTGGTGCTTAAAAAATGTGATTTAATGCAATATGCCAGTTATCTTCAGGCATACTCATTAACATCATATTAAAACCAGTACAGAAAGTTCTTCAGTAATTATATCAAAGGATGGATGTACCAATTGCTTAAACTGACCAGATTTTTGAGAGTCCAAAGTGGGACACCTAACTAATGAATAAAAAATTGGTTGTATTAAAAAAATTAAAACTTCTTTTCATAAAAAAATGCATACCATCTTGTTATTATACTTTTCATTAGATATTTTTTTAGCAAGTCAAAGAATTCATTAGAAACATTAAAAAATCTTGCATGTAATTGTGTAACCTGTTTACCCCCCCCCCCAAAAAAAAAGTAAAGAAAATCATCAACAAAATGTTAAAACTAAATCATTTGCATTGAGTGTTGAGGAATTATCTCTCTATAGTTAAGCTATGTATTACAAAAATACTGCAAAATATTTAAAGATAATTATAGAGAACATATTATTTAAAATTAATTTACAGTTACAAGTCTTACTTTCTTTTTGTGTGTTTGTGTTGTGAAAATTATGCTTAACATGCAATTATGAAAGTTTATATAAAAGTAAAAAGTTAACAGAAAAAAAAAACATTTGTCGCAAGTACCTGTGATCTTTTTCTGCATAAGCTGTACAACCTATGTATAAAACTTCTGAGTTTAAAGTCACTTTGTTACTGTGTGCTTATTATATATATATGTATGATTGTATAAAGCTGCATGACATATTGGTTTGTTTTAATGCACTTAAAGTGAACTGATTATGAACACACAAAGTACAGTAGCTCCCACCATTTTATTTGCTACTGTTAGTGAGAAAGAGGTTGATAATTAAATGATCAAGCTGTTTAAAAGTAAATTTAAAAAATGTGTGTGTGTATATATATGTAGTTTCTAAATTATCAATCTCAGAATAAGAACCTACATAAAAAATCCTCATATAAAGTTCTCAACTAAGCTGATAATCAATAAATATTGATATTATTAATTCATTAGAACACATAGTTAATAATATGAACTTTCTACCAGCTTTAATTAACTTTTACACTTGTATGTAAGGGAATACTTGGAGTAGAAAATAAATTATTGGTAAGATTCCTACCAGTTTTTATATTATTAAATTCCGTATACTAATGTAGATTTACTAAGACTTGGATTATTTATTAGTGTGCATAAGAATTATCATGAAAGTTTATTTACTGTGACCAAAAAGACTTGTTTTATGTACATCACTTATTAACTGAACTGCCTAAAAACTATTAAATGATAGTTTTTATACATTAATAAACTCACTGTGTATGAATACTAGGTTTTTATATTGAATTAAAAGAAGAAACTTTTACATATCTTAAATCATATGTTTGTGTATCTGATCTATCTGTATGTTTACTTGTATCCATATAACAATTACATTTAAAGTAGCTGGATATATTAATTAAATAAATAAATATAAAGTATTCCAAATATTAATTTTGGGTGACATATTGTTCGTATTTGATAAAAGTGTTTAAGAAGTGACTAAATAGTGTGTAAATGATGTGCAAACAAGATTGGTAAATCATAAAGTGGTTTCATCTGGGGTTAGAAACTCAATTGTGTTCTAAAATATGACAAGGTAATTTTTTTTCTGGGTATTAGTTCTGCAGTGGGTGGATAATTTTTTGCTATAATTTCAAACATTCTTCTCTTTATGATGAAGAATCAAATTCTTCCAAGATCATTCCAAGGACTAACCCAGAGAGAGGTAATCAAGCTATATGATTGGTCAATTTGGAAAGTTTTTATTGTGTAGCTGTAAGTGTTATGAACAAATTTGGAAGAAGTGTATGTTCTTCCTTCTTGAATAGTTTAGTAAGAGCCACTAGAAGGTTGAATCTTATATATACTGCGAACCGTGGTGTCTGTCCGAGCATTTGTCTGTCTCCCGTTTGAAAAGCTGTGCACGCAGGCAAATCTCAACATTCACTTTTGAAATGACAGTAAAATAGGCATAAATAATGTTGATGCCAAATTTTATTTTGAAAGCAGGATATTCTACACTAAATTGTTAGGAATTAGTCACACTATTATTCACATTTCAAAATGTGACATAACGTAAAGAATAAAAATGTAGGTTTACTGTATGTTATTGTTGAGCGGCTCTTAGCATGACTGAAATACTCAACAAGTACTTTTTTTGCTGTGGGCCTTATAAGTAGCTCAGAGCTTTGGCTCTGAGTGAAACCAAGAATTCAACACAAATAACCTTTTTAAAGTCCTTGAAATAACTCAAATTGATAGATTAACTTAAACTTTTCTCATCACTGAGGTTGGGTGATTTTGCTTGTTATTACATATAGATGAGAAAGGAATACATATGCATTTTGTGAATAAAGTCGATATATTAGAAACATATACTAGATAAAACACACAAGTCCCTATTTAAACCCATTTTTATTATGAAGTACTAACATATTGTGTGTCAAAACATAAGTTTTTTTTTTCATAGGACTTAAGTATTTGGTGCTTCTTTGCATAAGTTTTTAAAATTTAACATTTTGAAATAACTGGGGTGTGTAATATTCTGTCGCCATTAAAATTAGTTTCTGATCAGCTGAAAAAAAAACAAGCACTTATGAAATGCACAGTTGCTTTGAAGTATTTAATCTTTAGAAAATTTCATAATTCTGTTGTGTACTGCTTGTTTCCAGTGGCTAAAATTCTTGGGTTTATAGGTACCTGATAGACAGCCAGTGGTTTAAACAGTGGAAGAAGTTTGTTGGTTATGATGACAGTGATGTCAGCAGTGTTAAAGAAGATGAGGTTCATCCAGGTCCAATTGATAACTCTGCTCTTTATAAAGGTAATTTTTCTTGTTCATTTACCAACATTATTTGTATTTATTGCAGTGGACAAAATAGTTTGGTAGATTTGATTTTGATTAGCAATTATTGCTTAGCATCTTTTTAACATTCATAGTTTTAACACTTTCAACTAAATCCAGCACTAAAAGTCTTAACTCTTTGTAAAGACATCCACTAATGAAAGAGGTAAATGGTATATTTTTATTCTAATAACACTTCAAACCCTAATATTTAGTTGTATCATACATGGCATTTCATGAACAAAATAGTTCCTGGTATATAAAGTAAAACTTTAAAACTGCAAGAAATACCATAAACCTCAACTGTCACAAAATAATGCAACAATTGATTAACCAGAGAAAGAAATGATTTGAAGGTATTGCAACTTAACAAAGTTGCCACAAGTCATTTTCAAATTCATCTAGATTAATTCTTTCTTTTTTTTTATGAGACTTCATCATTCTCTTCACAACATGGTCTCCTTGGCTTTTTAAAGAAGAAAATGTCTAGTGTTTTTTCAGCAGTGATTACCCCTCTCATCACAGGCATTCTTTACTGTGCATGTCACGAGTTTTTTTAGTGAGTTACATTCAAAATTTAATTAAACTACTTTTTGCTTGTTCATATTATACCAATTAGTATAGCATAAAAGCATTGCTAATAATCCATATTTTAATAGTATACAAGTTGTAAGTTCTTCATTTTATAAGGCAATATTTAAAAAAGATCCAGAATTTCCCCTAGTGTGAAAATGTGATTTGCTTTCTCAAGGCATCCTCTCTTCTTTAATTTATTTATCACCTCCAAGAAGTACGAAATTTAATGTAAATTACTTATTATAGTGTTGTCATCACTCAGATAAAGCATAATTTTCGTAGCCTTCAGTTTTGTTTGGTTAAAGAGTCATCAAACATAAAATCAGATCCCTATTGCCACACTCACCTGTCACATCCTCTCTTTCAGGATTTGTCAATAGTTCTCTCTTACGTTTAATAATATATTATTTTTTAACCAATAGAAAGCCAAGGTTTTCATCTATAAAATGATGTATTACATTATTTTCTATACAGAAAAATTTTAATTCCTCTTTCAGTACAATCTTCGTTCCCACGGGAAATGCATTGACTAGCTTGGATGAATTTGTAACGGCCCTAGACACATAGTTAGAAAGCCAGAAAAATTGTGATAGTTATGGGACATTGTCTACTTTTAGCATGTTATTATTCTGTGTTCTTTGGTGCATTATTTAATTAAATAAAAATTATTTAGTGCACTACTACCATTAGAAAAAAAAGTAGGGTTAAGTGTTATCAAAAGTTGACACCAAATAAAAAGAGTACTGCACTTCATCCCCCACTATACTGGTACAGATATGTCGATGAAACTTTTGCTGGTTTCACTTCTACAGAACACACACTAACTTTCTTTAAGCACATAAATTACATTCATCCTAACATCAAATTTACCATAGAACACGAAAACAATAAACAGTTATCCTTTCTTAACCTCAACACTATTAGATTGGACACACAGTTTAAAACCAAAATTCATCGTAAGAACACACACGCCGGCCTCTACATCCCCTGGAATTCTGCTCATGACACCACACAAAAAATCAATACACTCAAAAACTTCGTAAACACAGCTACAAGATTGTTCAATGGACTACATAAGTGAAGAAATCAACCACATAAAGCATTCCTTCGTTCATACCAATAAATTTCGACCGGCTATTGTTGAAAAACTCTCCAACATTCCCCACAACAAAATTCAACTCATGAACAAAATTAATACAACAAACCCAACAACAGAACTTTACACTGCAGTTTACCTTTTGTCTCTGAAACCAGCTCAAGAATTATCCACACTTGGACAAAACTAGCCATTAAACACAATATTTCTGTCGGTGTCAAATTCTCTCAAAAATCCAGTCCTAAATTAAAATCATTACTAAACAAAAATTATTTAGATTCACACAATACCAACGTCATTTACAAAGTAACATGCATAACTGTCTACAATTCTACATCAGAGAAACAGGAAGAAAATTGGAAACCAAATTCACAGAACAAAATAAAAAACTGTTCCATGTTTTCCACCATTGCAACTCAAAAAAAACATAGTATATCTATTAAAAACA